TGACTGCACGGACGACCAATGAACAGCGCCAGAAATGAGCGTCTCGAGTGCCCGCCCTGTCTAGGCTCCGCCCACGGCCAAGCACCTCCCTAGGCTCCTTGGCTTACTGGAACCCAGAAGAAAGCAACACCCGGAGCAGGGATCCCGGGCCGGGTCTCAAGGAAAGGGTGCTAGCTGGAGCTCCCCTCCCTTCTTTCCCCACTCCGGCGGCTCCCGGCTGCTCCGGGATTGGAGGAAAGAGGGGGAAGGGAGGCAGGCCGGATCCGCAGCTGCTGTTGTAGGGATGCCTGCCGGGAGAGTCACCGGGCCACCCCTTTTACAAAATAGCGGTCTCTGGCAAGTAGGAAGTTTCCCTTGGTCTTTCTTCTGCTGGGGACGCGGCTGCCCCATAGGTGGGCAGGGTACGGGGCAATTGGAGCTGCCAGAAGTCCCTCCTGAAGGTTTTGACAGCATGTTTGGATTCTGGATCCAAGAATCCTGTGCAAGACTGTTTTTTTCAGGGGGGAACTGCATTTTTGTGTCCTCTTCAATACACACATAGACACACAGATGTGCCCCTTTTCTAATTTTATTCTTGCTCAAAAACCCTGCGTGCAATGTCCCACTGGAGGGATTTCCAGCCTTCTGGTGTTAATGACGAGAGTGGGGATGCGGAGTCTCCCCATGTAGCGGAAGAAGCGTGTGGATTTGGTTACAGTAAAGGGGATTGGGTGTCATGGGAGAAAATCCCATGAGGCTGAAGCAGAGTCTGGGAGAGAAAGGGGATGCCGGCGGGTGGACAACTCCGACTGGAAAACCGATCCAGCTCCCGGATTTTCTCCTCCACTCGGTCCAGGGGCTTCTGGGGTCCCCTTCCCCGGAGTCCTCCACTCTCCCCAACCCTACCAGCCACTGAGTCTTTGCTATCCCTGCGCCTCTCTAGGCAGGCAACCCGCCCAGTTTATTTTAAGGGCTGGGCAGGATGGTGAGTGGAAGGGTGCGTGAGAAAAGGCCGCCTAGATTCGGACTCCGTGCTGACCATCCTACCCGAGGTGGGGGCACCATTTTACCCTGGTATTCTGGGATCTGGTCCCTCTCAGATCCACTCCACCCCCAGCTCTGGCCTTGATACCTACACCTTTTGGCTATCTTTTGACCTGACCGACACTCTCCCCCCTCTTCCGGCCTCTAGAAGCCAAGACCCATTCCATCACCAGCAGGGTCTCTCCACTAGTTCCCAGTGCTGTTTACCTAAATAAGAAGTAGCCCCAGTCGAGGAGGATGCCAAAGTATGGGAGCGGTTGCACAGCAAAGTCCCTGGAGAAGAAGTAAAAAACGTTTGCTTTGGATCTTCCGGAAAGTTAACTGTGATGCAGAGGTCCTGAAGTCTTTGCAGGAATGAGTCTCACCGTGAGAGATAGCAGATCCTATCTGGTGTTGATGTAATTATTGTGTCGGAGAAGAACATTATATGATAAAGTGTTATCTAATATTCTAGAAGCCATTAAAGCGTCAAACTTTAATGTCAAGCCTTTTAGATCTAAGGCAGTTCAGTGTTTCCTCTGATGTACAGCTTTATTTTAGAACTCCCAGAAAACAAGGGGATCATTTTATTTTTATTTATTTGTTTTACAGAACGCCAGTCCTTCCTACTCGCTTCCTCCACCCCCACACCAGCTTTTACCCTGGAACTGGGTAAAGTTAAACCAGGAATTTGTGCTTTCTTGGGTTTTTTGTTTGTTTGTTTGTTTGTTTGTTTTGAGACTGTGTTTCTCTGTATAGCTTTGGAACCTGTTCTGGAACTCGCTCTTTGGAGCAGGCTGGCTTGGAACTCACAGAGATCCATCTGCCTCTGCCTCTGGGATTAAATGTCTGTGCCACCAATGCCCAGCTCTGTGCTTTCTTTTTATTTATCGTCTGGCTTCCCTTCATTAATAAAAGTGCATTTTACAGTGCACTAGCACGTTAATAGGGGGAAGGGACGAGAGTCCAGGAATTTACAAGCAAAGGAGGAAATAACCGAATTAACATCAAAGAAAAGAATGTGGGAAAGGAACATCTTCATTGTAATAACCCGAGTGGTGTCTTATCTAGATTTTTGAAAAATATGAGCAGGGGAGGAGAAGGGAGTAAGGTCTACTGGAATCAGTGAGGTACCTATTTACTAGGAATTTAATGAGGTTGGTTAGCATGGCCTGGTAACCTCCTAAAATGCTGAAATGTTTCCCCTCTATCAACTCAAGTTTCTAGTTGTACACCAGCACTGTTGTAATAGGCTAAAGGTTAAGTTTGTTAGACTATAATATCCCACAGACAGCACTGGTTAATTCCTATCATAGGAAGCCTCACAGTTCAAGTTTTTCCTTTGGAAAATTATAACGCTCATCCCAATCTTAGAGAGTGTGTGTGTGTATTCTCAAGTTGGAAGTGATTGCCTAGGAATTTGACACAAACCAATATATAAATGTCAAAAAATGATTTTGGCTATGACATAATATAGCATGAGGAATACAGAATAAAAATATGTAAGGAAATATATCTGCTATTTCTAAAGAAACAGCCCAGGTTTGCTAAAAACTAAGGAACAGGAAAGTATTGTACCCTCTAAACCAACTGCTATTTATCCTCACACCAACATTGCACCCGTCACTGAAAAGTCTGACACACACAGACACACACCACACTCACTCTATCTTCTCTCTTCTCTCTTCTTTCTCCTCTTTTGGGTCATACAGCACTAATCTTAAGAAACCGGGGATGGCTCAGAGGTTAAGAGCACTGGCTGTTCTTCCAAAGGCACCGAGTTCAATTCCCAGCAGCCTCGTGGTGGTTCACAACAATCTGTAATGAGATCTGGCGCCTTCTTCTGGCCTGCTGGCATACATGCAGGCAGGATGCTATATGTGTAATTAATAAATAAATCTAGGAAGAAAGAAAGGGGGGAGAGAGGGGGGAAGGGAGGGAAGGGAAGGAAGGAAGGAAGGAAGGAAGGAAGGAAGGAAGGAAGGAAGGAAGGAAGGAAGAAAACTGGAGGTATTAAAACAGCCACTAGGGGGCCCTAAAGGCATCTCCAAAGAAGAGGGAAGTGAGATGTCTCACCTCCCTGGTTTCCCACCTTAGATTTTCTGAGTATCTATTGCAACTGAGATTAAAGAGAAATCAGAAATGAACATGGTATGGAGACCAATCAGGCCATTGGATTAGGAGTCAAGAATTTTGTTTCTGTCTTTTCTGACATCCGATGCTGTCACTCCTTCACAAAAGAAATTTTGCATCCATTGAGCGCAGCATCTCAAAGTCAACCCAGACTGGACTCAGACTACGATTTGGGGCCTTTATCTGAATATGTGACTATTCCTCAAAAGCTGGGTAGTTAGATGACTGGATATTTGCAGAGAGGATACCTAGCAATTTGTATACCAATGCACCCAATAGAAGTCAAGCTGGCTTTAAAGCCTTAGAGCACAGGCCTGGATTTGTGTGTGTGTGTGTGTGTGTCTGTGTGTGTGTGTGTGTGTGTGTGTGTGTGTGTGTTTGTCTGTGTGTGTAGAGATCAAATGTCCGTATTGAGTGCCTTCCTCATTGTAGTTCATCTTTTCTTTTTTTGAAAAAGAGAGAGAGAGAGAGAGAGAGAGAGAGAGAGAGAGAGAGAGAGAGAGAGAGAGAGCGCTTAACACTGAAGCTGAGTTCACTGGTTTAAATAGACTGGCCAGAAAGCCACAGTTTCCTCTCTCTACCTCCTCAACCTTAGAATAACTTAGACATACACTGCCATGCCAGTTTTTTGTGTGGGTTTTAGGAAACCTAACTCTGATCCTCATGTTTGCAGAGTAAGCACTTTACCAAGCTGAGCCATCTCTCTATCCCCACCTTGCAGTCTGGGTTCCAGTGAGTTAGTGATGGCATTAGTGGGGTGTTGGTACTGTAGGAAGGATAAAGACAACTGATACTTGAATACAGAGGGAATGATTTAGGTTGGACTCTTCAGCAGGAGACAATGACCAGTCAATATCTTAATAGTGTTGCATTTGTCAAAAACAACTACATATCAGGTAATCTCGGTAGATTGAAACCTCTGACACTTATATGTTCAGGGGTTCAGAATCCTAAGAAGTCATATCATCTCTGTCCCCATCTTACCACTAATTGAGAGTCAAATAGTTTCCTGGTAGCTCAGGCTAGAGAAACCAAATTATTCTCTCCAACCAATGCTGGAGAAATAAATATCTGTAAACAATATTCTATCTACACATGTTTCAAGTGAAAATTTAATCACCAGGCATGAAACATTTCACTCTCATTCTGGCCAATAATCAAAAGACATTCCTAGGCAAAGCAAAATG